TAAAAAAAATTCCTTTTGTAGAAATCTAGACAACAGAAAATGACTAAATGGTTTGAGTCTGACCTAATTTTGAGTAAAATCATAATTCCTCCTCCTGGTAATGACTGCCTCTGCTGCAGGTCTATTCCAAGCATGAACTATTCTTTCGGTAAAATACTTTTCTAAGGGCTCTTTCACACGGGTGTTCCTTATGTCCGTCCTTTTTGTTTTGTGTTCGGATGAAAATGGATACCCCTGTATCTCTATGGACTAGTGTGTGGGGGGTTTGGGAACTCCACAGCTGCCAATCACTGCCCTGCACTACAACACCCAGCAGACCTCCCCTCCCCCTCCAAGTTCTTGTAATGCGTTGGGGTAATGTGGTGTGTTTTTGATTTTGTGTAACACTCAGCAATATCAATGTGCAAAAAAATACGAAAATTGTGCTAAATAAATATAAACTTCCCAACATATCTCATTAAAATGATAACCGTGTCCCAAATACCACACTGCCTGCTTTAAATTCCTCAAAAGAGAAATCTCAATTAATGGGCGGAGTCTGACTCCTGTGTATAATTATGATGGGGTCTCCAGCCGTTACAGCAAAATCACTTTACTACAGACCCCTTGATAAAATCCACCCCACAATGTCATTTTCCTGAGTATTTTTCCACAATGTGACTTCTTACCAGATATACAAATAAAATATTACATTTGAATACTAATTACTGGGGATTCGTATTCCCTACACACAATCAAAGGAATAACTTGCAATTTAGGTCAATCTTTAGTCCTCCTGCACACGGGATGTTTTTACAGCGACTTTTTTTTTTTTCTTTTCTACAGGCAGTAAACTCCCCAGCATGTTATTCTGTGTGTCAATGCACACAGACTGGACTGGAAGCAATGTTTTTGGCTGGGAAAAAAACCCAGGACTAGTGTTTCTAGAGAATTTTAAATGTAAAAAAACTATCTAACAGTGAAAAACGCACAAACCAGTGTTTTTTGAGCAAAAAAAAAAACAAAAACTTTTAGGGGGTCAAAAAAAAACCTGCTAAAGGCTGAAAAACTTGCACTTTTTTTTTTTTTTTTTAACTTGACTTTACACAGCTAACGTTACCAGCGTTATTACCCCCCCCCCCCCCCCCCCCCTGTGTGCATGGAGCCCTAAATGTATACACTAGCAGAGTAAAATAACTAAACCCTGGATTAACGATTAGTAAAATGTTCTATTTCAGTATTCGGTGCAGTTCCTCTAATGAAGGAAGGTGGGAGACTACTTCTGATATAACAAACTGAAACACACTTAAAGTGCGTCCTAAAACCATACGTTCTCAGCAGAGCCATAAAGAGGAAAAAAAAACTCTATTGTCTACAAACAATACAACCCGATATGATAAATAAGCACCCAACTCCCTACACATCATCCAATCTCAATGTTTCAACAAGATTTATACAATTCCGGAATAATGATCAGTTTACATCGCCATGCGCAGTACCAGCACTACAGCTCCATAGAGACAGTTAAAGTTCCATTAATGAGTTTGGGATGGATAAGTTATGATACTTGGGCCACAATATCTCACCACTCCCAGGGATGGCGCTCTGCAGATTTCTGGATGGGACGGCAGGCAGGTACAAGTGGTGTTCCTTAGCAAGCAACAGTCTCTCCAGCCAGCAAAGTGTGTCCTTTTCAGTAATTGAAAGTGTTTCCAAGAAAAAAGTGTGAGCAGCAAAAGTGCTTTTAGCAAGCAAGGGTTTTTTTTTTTTCCAGCTAGCAAAAGTTCTCCTTTTTTAAGAAAGCAAAATAAGTGTGGTGTGGTTGTGTGGTTTCCCCCCCCCCCCGTGTAAATACTGTGGGGATCCATTGTCTGTTGGGTCCCCCATAGTAAGTGTTTGACTGTCTTTCAGTTTGGACAGTCAGGATACGTTGTCAGTCTGTACCTGTCCACTAGAGGCAGTCGTGTTCCATGAATGGAGATTTTGATTTTACTATCAGGAAGACTTCTATGAAATGTAATTAATATTGCATGGAAGGTCTGTCATGATGAAACATGCTTTCTGCCAGAGTGCTGTTGTTGTTGGAGTGCTAAGAAGCAGTTGAACACAGCAGTCTAATCATGGCTTCCCTGCTTTTCACAGGTAAATTGGTGCTGTCTGCTCTCTCCACTCTAAACTGCAACCTCAACAACGCATAGACTCCGGCTATCTCCGAACAAATAGTGTATATATTTGTGTCTGATTAGTTCTCACCTCTTGTTGCACTTTTTATGACCGTGGCCTGTGTCTGGTCTGTGTTTGAGAAAAACCCCCCCCCCCCCCCCCCAATTCATGTGATCCTTATCAGTTCCTAATTGGGGCGGAGAAGAGTGCTCATCTGACCATCTCCCTATAAATTTAGATCAACTTAAGGGGGGTGGTCACCGATGGGGTGCTGGTTTTAGCCACTTGCTTACTGGGCACTTGTACCCCCTTCTTTACCAGGCCAGTTTTCAGCTTTCAGCGCTGTCGCACTTTGACAATTGCGCGGTCATGCAAGATTGTACCCATATGAAAATTTTTATTATATTTTTTTCTCAAAAATGGAGCTTTCTTTTGCTGGTATTTAATTGCCGCTGGGTGCTTTCGTTTTTTGCGCTATAAACACAAAAAAAGTGTAAAATTTGAAGAAAAAAAACATTTCTTTCTATTATAAAATTTTTGAAACAGGTGATTTTTTTTTTTTTTTTTTTTTTTTTTTTCCCCTCCACTGTGCGTTGATGAGATGGCACTGACTGGCACAACTGCTAGCACTGCATTGATGGGCACAGGTGGGTGGCATGTCCGGGCACAGGTGGGTGCACTGGTGGGTGGCACTGCTGGGCACTGATCATCAGTGCCCTGATGATCGGTGCCGATCACTGCTCTGACAACTGCCGGTTCTCGGCAGTTCTTTCCTCGTACTCTGACAGCGTGAGGAAAGTGCAGCCGAGAACCAGCAATTGCATTTCCCGGTGATCAGCGTGTCATTGGACACGGCTGATCAAATGGTAAAAGGCCGCTGTGATTGACCTTTTACCACATAACGTGATCAGCTGTGTCCGTAGGACACGGAGATCGCTGGGGGCGTGCAGGAGAGCGCATTCTGGGAGGACGTCATATGACGCTCTCCCAGAACTGGCCAGCCGCAGTGTAGCCGTCATTCGGCTATCTGCGGTTGGCAAGAAGTTTAATGGAGTGCTAAGAAGCAATTTAACTCAAGCAGTAGGAAGATACAACAAGAAACTCTACTGCATGCTGGACAGACTGCAAGCAAACACCCGGGAAACATCTCCTACAAGTCTGAGTCCCAGTCCATGCATCTTTCTTTTTAATATGTCCCTCTACTCCTCTTCATATTACCATACTGGATTCTCAAAATCTCACTTCTTTACCCCTCAGCTCCACCCCAAAACTTGTACATCTCCCCCTCACTGCTACCATCTCCCTACTACTGCTCTCATCACCTCCTGCTGATACTTTACTCACCTGCTGACCCAAACATCAGGACTAGAAGGCATGTGCACTCATATACATCCCACTCCCATGTTACTTTCCTCACCCTTCTTCTCCTAACCTCTGGGGCTATTTCCCCAAACCCTGGTCCTCTAGTATCTCACCCCCCACACCAGGCGTCCTCTTTCTTCCGGGAATAGCCGCAATACCCTCAATTTAATATTGGTACCCGTGCTCCCAAAAACCACCCTCCCTTTTTCATGTGCATTCTGGAATGCCCGCTCTGTCTGTAATAAGCTCACCTCTGTCCATGACCTTTTTGTCTCCCTCTCCCTTAACCATCAATCACAGAAACCTGGCTCCAAGCAGCAGATTCTTCTTCTCCCGCAGCACTTTCCTATGGAGACCTTCTTTGGACCCACTCACCCAGACCCAGTGGTTGGAAAGGAGGTGGGGTTGGTTTGCTTCTATACCCACAGAGCACCTTTCAAGTCCTTCCTAACCCTCCCTCTCTATCCATCCCTTTTGAGACTTGCTGCATCCAGCTGTTTGCTTCCATTTCTCTGAGGATTGCAGTGATCTATCTGCCTCCTGGACTGGTGTCCCGCTTTCTTGATGATTTCTCCACCTGGCTACCCTACTTTCTCTCCTCTGAACTACCCACTATCATTCTCGGAGATTTTAACATCCCTATTAATATCAAAAACCCGGCTACATCCCAACTCTTCAACCTAACCTCCTCTTTTGCATTAGCAGTGTATATAGCACAGTGTATACAGTCCTCCACTCACTCTGATGGGAATACATTAGACCTTGTTTTCTCCCATCTTTGCACTCCCTACAACCACAAATACCCCCTTTCCTCTCTGATCACAATCTCATCACCTTCAGTCTCCTTGTCTTCAAACACCTATCCCTCCAAGCAGCAAACAATTACCCGCAGAAACCTTCACAACTTGAACCCTGCTCCTTTCCACTCAGCAACTGACCGCCTCTATGACAGAATCTCCCCCCTGTCCTGCACTGACCTGGCCACTGCTGTCTACAACAGTTCACTTTCATCCACATTAGACTCACTTGCTCCTCTAACAACACAAAGCATCAGGTCCTGACCGTTACAACCTTGGCAGACTGACCACACCAGAAATCTTAAACGACAGTCGTGCGATGGAGCGATTGTGGCATAGAACCAAATCTCAGGAAGTATTCACCCGATATAAATCTGATTTCTTAACCTACAATTCCTCCCTTCATGCTGCCAAACAAGCCTACTTTGTCCCTCTTTATTAATACCTTGTCATCCAGTCCTCGTCCTCTCTTCTCTACTTTTAACTCTCTACTTTCTCCACCTCCACCCAGTACCTCACTCACTGCACACGAGATTACATGTCAGAAACAAGATTGATGCAATTCATAGGGACATCGCCACTGCACAGACATCATCCCACTTGGCATACCTTATACTAAACCTCCCTCAACACTTTCCTCTTATGACCTCGCTACTACCGAAGAGGTCACTAAGGTTTTCTCAGACGCCCGTCTCACTACCTGCCCCCTGGATCCTGTCTCCTCACAACTACTACAGTCATCCTCTCTTTCCATCCTATGCTCCTTCACTCACATCTTCAATCTTTCCCTCTCTACTCTTGCCTTCTCCTCCCCTCTAAAGCATGCACACATCACTCCCATACTTAAAAAAGCCCTCCCTGGATCCCACCAACCTGAATAACTTAAGACCCATCTCCCTGCTGCCATTTACCTCTAAACTCCTAGAACGCTTAGTCTACAATCGCCTGAGCTCCCACCTCACCGACAACAACCTTCTTCACCCTTTACAATCTGGCTTTCCCTCACTACACTCCACTGAAACTGCCCTACTAAAACTCACTAATGATCTACTAACTGCTAAAACCAATGGCCACTGCTCCGTACTCATCCCAACCAATGGCCACTACTCCGTACTCATCCCAACCAATGGCCACTGCTCCGTACTCATCCCAACCAATGGGCACTACTCCGTACTCATCCCAACCAATGGGCACTACTCCGTACTCATCCCAACCAATGGGCACTACTCCGTACTCATCCCAACCAATGGGCACTACTCCGTACTCATCCCAACCAATGGGCACTACTCCGTACTCATCCCAACCAATGGGCACTACTCCGTACTCATCCCAACCAATGGCCACTACTCCGTACTCATCCCAACCAATGGCCACTACTCCGTACTCATCCCAACCAATGGCCACTACTCCGTACTCATCCCAACCAATGGCCACTACTCCGTACTCTTACTACTTGACCTCTCTGCAGCTTTTGTACGGTTGACCATCCCCTCCTCCTCAAAAAAAAAAAAAACTCCACTCTCTTGGCCTCAGACTCTGCTCTCTCCTGGTTCACCTACCTATCACAGCGCTCCTTCAGCGTTACCTATAACACTGCCTCCTCTTCACTGCCTCTTTCTGTAGGGGTGCCTCAAGGTTCTGTCCTTGGACCCCTTCTCTTTTCCATCTATACCTCCTCCCTTGGTCACTTGATAAACTCCCATGGCTTTAAGTACCATCTCTATGCTGATGACACACAAATCTCTCTCTCTACCCCTCACCTCACCCCTTCAGTCTCCTCCTCCCCTCACCCCTTCAGTCTCCTCTCGCATTACTAACCTACTAAGTGATGTATCGGCATGGATGTCACTCCACTTCCTCAAACTCAATCTTTCCAAAACTGAGCTTAGTATTCCTAGCTCGTGCCCCCTCCCCTGACTTCTCAATCAAGATCAATAACACAACCATCAGTCCCTCCCCTCATGCCGGTGTACTAGGTGTAATCCTAGACTCCCATCTGTCCTTTCAGTCTCAAATCTAATTGCTGTCCAAATCTTGTAGACTTCACCTCTGCAACATCTCCAAGATACGCCCGTTCCTAACCTTGGAAACCACTAAGCAACTTATGCATTCCCTTGTTATATCTCTCCTTGACTATTGTAACTCCCTCCCTATTGGCTGACCTCATCACAGGCTATCCCCTCTTCAGTCTATCATGAATGCTGCTGCCAGACTCGTCTACCTTACTAACCATTCTGTATCTGCCACCCCTCTGCCAATCCCTCCACTGGCTTCCCATTGCCCAACGGATAAAATTCAAAACATTAACAATACCATATAAAGCCATTTATAACTCCGCCCCAAATTACATCACCGATCCTGTCTCTAAATATCACCCAAACCGTACTCTACGCTCCTCGCAAGACCTCCTATTCTCTCGCTCCCATGTCTCCTCTTTCCATGCTTGTCTCCAAAGCTTCCCCCATCCTCTGGAACTCTCTACCCCAATTTAAAAGACTATCGCCTACTCTGCTCACTTTTAGGCAATCTCTGAAAACCTATCTCTTCAAGGAAGCCTATCCTGCCCTTTGCTAATAATGGAATCTTCTACTCTTCCAACCAGTCCATCCCCCACAGTTACTACTTTTTTTTTTTTTTTTTTTTTTTTTTTTTTTTTTTGGACCACTAGCCCCTCCCTCCTAGATTGTAAGTTCCAAGGAGCAGGGCCCTCCTATCCCTCTTGTATTGTCTTCCATTATATTGTGAAGTGCTGAGCATACTGTTGACGCCATATAAATCCTATATAATATCAGCGTGGCTTTCATAGATATCCTTCTTAAAGTCCATTGGTTTGCATTGGGTTAGACATTCATCCTTGTTAGATGGGAAATATATCTCTGTGGTTATCAATTATGAAGATGGCTGCTATTTCAGAAGAATGTTCCTGAAATTTGTCATGGCAGTTTGTCAGATGCAAATGTGCTATTCAGTCCATCATAATATACCTCATATCTTTTTTGCGTTCTGATTTGTAGGTACGTATTGTTCGTAAATCATTTTTGTTTTAATGTTTTTACAAACCGTCCACCTGAGAAGCGCCATCCACAGCCTGTTATTGGAAACTGGTTAATATTTGGTTACTACTTGATGGGTGTGTGGTTTTTTTTTTTTTTTTTTTTTTTTTCTATATAGATTTGTCTCTATATAAATTGTGAGACAAATCTCTTGCCAGATGTTTTATTTCTCTTACAATCCAGGTACATTTGTGTTTTCACAATGAACATTTTATGACACCGGGAAGTCTTCTGGTCAAGGCTGTGAAACTATTTGTCTTCTCTTTCTTTGCTCTTTCTATCAATTCTGAGAGTTGAATGGGACATTTGGACTGCCTTGTTTTTGTGTGACCACCTGGTTGGTCAGGAATTGTTAGCATCTCTTGCTTAAATGATCATTGTTACCTGTGTATTTCAAATTACTCACGGGGATTATACTTTTCTATCACATGGCTTATGACTTTTTTTTTTTTTTTTCTTTTTCCTTTTTAAACCCACAATATTCTGAAGCAGACACCCAGTGAAAGTTGGGTCAAGCAGTCTTTTTAAGATTGATGCCTGGGGATGGTCACACTTAGATGTTGCCACACTGGTCACTCTGTCAGGGACAGTGCTGAGCATTAGGAAAAGGAGTAGGAAAGAGGACCGGAACAACGTCTACAATTTCAGGAAGCTACCCCTTTGGATTTGTCCAGCCAGGCTGCATGCTGCTTTTCATACTGCTGTCATCGCTGTGTGATAGTAAGTGGCGCTGGATGGGCGAGCCTCCCCGCCAGGTCTGTTTTGTACTTGTCCAACTTAAAGCATTTTGGCCAGCCTAAGACTAAAATATTCCATACACAGGATTTTATAAGAAATGTATATAGTATAAATATATAATATTCACACATAGTAGCAGTCAGTTTTCACATCTTGAGGAAAGTCCAAGATTGACAGCATTGGAAGACTCTTCTTATGCCAATTCTATTCAAAAAGGGAATGTAAACTGCAATGAGAGATATTAATTTGGACAATTGTTTACTGTCCTAGGAACAAGAGTTGTAAATACAACTGACTAAGCTGCTCGTACATCGATGTTCAGCGGGGGCCGGCCAAGATTCAATGCAAGTATGGGCAAGCTGATTGTACCCAAGTCGATCCATCAATCTACTTGGGTACAACCAGCCTATCAGATTTATTTACATTCAATTACTAATTTTGGCCATAGCCACCAGCAGTAATCATTGTTATGCCAGCTGAGAAGGCTCCCTGCCCCCCACCCTGAACGGCAGAACACAATAGCACTGTGGGAGGCATTCAGTCAGTGTTGATGGGGGAATCAAGATTTTCACCTATTAGTCACTATGGGCTTCTTTAGTTGGTACTTTCAGTAACTGCAAATAAGGTCTTTCGATCACGTTTAACAAAATATGAAACCCCTCCCGGGTCAGACACTTTTTCCCCTACCGTCTTTCAGGCCAGCACTCTGAGAGACCTCGGCTCCTCCCCATCTGAGGAAACACCTCCACCTACAATAAAAAAGCTCCACTCCCCTCTGACCTCAGTTCAGGTGTTTCCTCCGGTGGGGAGACACGAGGAGGCGCAGGAGGACGATAGGGGAGCCGAGGGCCGGATAGCCGGCTGTGAGGCCCGACGCAGCCGGGAGTGAAGGCCGGAGTGTCCGGCTGCATATCCTCCCAGGGCAGGCTGCCAGCAGTGAGAGTGCATCCCGGGGGACGGGACAGGGCACTTACCTGCTCTTCGCCCCCGACCCCCTCCGGCGAGGGGGGGTGTCGGGGTGGCCGTGGTGAGGTCTGGGGAGGATCGGGGGGAGTTCCGCTCCTTCCCATGCTGGCGGTCTGAGGGCTTTGCCGGGCCGGACGTCGGGAGACGGCGGTTTCCGGCGGAAGGGGCGGGGCTTCGCCCAGGGCCGCGACTTCCGCTTCCGGTCGCGGCCTTCACACCACGGCGGCGCGAAATTCGAATATGGCGGTGCGGTGCACAGCGGTCTGGGGGACAGACCTGCACCAGGCGACCACCCTCCGGTTCGGGATGTCGGAGGCACCGGGACCAGGAGATGCCAGCACCAGCC